AAAATAAAACCCACTTGATTATGGTGTGTAATCTTTTTAATGTATCACTGGATCCAGTTTGCTAATATTTTATTGAGGATCTTAGCATCTACGTTCATCGGGGATATTGGCCTATAATTTTCTTTCTTTGTAGTGTCTTTATGTGGTTTGGAACTAGGATAATACTGGCCTCATAAAATGAGCTTGGGAATCTTGCCTCCTCATGAATTTTTTGGAATAGTTTAAGAAGAATGAGCGTTAGTTGTTTTTCACATGTTTGGTAAAATACACCTGTATATTACCAAAAACTATTTTACCTAAAACTATTACAGGTGTATTTTAAAAATCTGGTACTTTTGTTTGTTGGGAGTTTTTTGATTACTGATTCAATTTTACTGGTTGTAATCTCTTTGTCTAGATTCTCTGATTCTTCCTGATTAAATTTTGTAAAATTGTATGTTTCTAGGAATTTATCTATTTTTCCAAATTATCTAATTTGTTGGCATATAGTTATTTGTAATATTTTCTTACAATCCTTTGTTTTTCTTTGGTGTCAGTTGTTACTTCTCCTCCTTAATTTCTGATTGTATTTATTTGTTCCTCTCTCTTTTTTTCTCGATGGGTCTAGTTAAAGGTTTATCAGTCTTGTTTCTCCTTTCAGAGAACCAGACCTTGGTTTCGTTGATCTTCTGTGGGGTTTTTTTTGTTTGTTTGTTTTTATTTTGTTTTTTTGACTGGATTTCACTTATTTCTGCTCTGATCTTCATTATTTTCTTTTTTTCTCCTCACTTTGGGCTTTGTTTGTTATTTCTTATACATAGTTTTTTTTAAGTGTAAAGTTAGATTGTTTAGAGATTTTTCTTGTATGTTGAGGTAGGCCTATAATGCTATGAATTTCCCTATTTGAACTACTTTTGCTGTGTCCTATAGATTTTGGGTTGTGTTCTCATTTTCATTTGTTTCAAGGTACCTTTTGATTTCTTCCTTGGTCTCATTGTTAACCTACTCATTGTTTAGTAACTTATTAATTTAGCCTGCACGTCTTTGTGTCTTTTTTAGGTTTTTTCCTGTGATTGATTCCTAGTTTCATACTATTATGGTTAGAGAAGATGCTCAATATGATTTCATTCTTTTAAAATTATTGAGATTTGTTTTGTGTCCTAACATGTGGTCTTCCTAGCAAAGTTCCATGTGTACTTGTAAAGAATGTATAGTCTACTGCTTTAGGGTAAAATGCTCTGAAGATATCAAGTAAGTCTTTCTGATCTAGTGTGTCATTTAAGGCTGCTGTTTCCTTGTTGATTTGTTGTCTGGAAGATCTATCTATTGATGTCAACAGGTGTTGAAATCCCCAACTATGACTCTATTATTGTCTGTCTCTTTTATGTCCATCAAGATTTGCTTTACATATTCTCAGGGAGTCGTCAGGGTGAGGCCAGCAGAGCTCATCAGGCCCAAATTAGACTAAGATTTGGCTCTATGAAGGGACAGCTCTGCTGTGGTCGGGCATGCAAAGGCAAAATGGCCCCTGTCCTGGAGCCACACAACTCAGTCTATCCCAGATTCTGCCTGGAGGAGATGGAGCTCAGAAGGAATGGAGTTGTGAGGATGGGGCCAGTGGATCTCCCATGAAGGAAGGGGAGGTGCTGCTCAGGTCCCGGGGAAGGTGAGAGGTGTAGCCCCTGCCCTAGACCCACACAATTCAGTTGATCCCAGATTTTGCCACAACCTCTACAGGGCAAAGCCACTAGGAGTCTGGTAAGTGGGTCTACCAGAAGCCAGGAGAATAGAGCCAGTGGATCTCCCCCAGGGAGGAAATGCCAGTGATGTTCACGGGGAAGTGAGAGGAATGGCCCCAACCCCAAAGTCACATAACTCAGTCACAGACAGCCCCTGAGTCTGCCTAGAGTTCTACACCCCGGCCAAGGCAGCTAACTCCTCCAATAGATGTAAGCTCTGTACTGTGGGCAAGAGGGATCCCCGAGGGTGGAGCTGTTGCTTTGCCCAGCCTGATGCCACATGGAGGGGAGTGCTCTACCCAAGAAAGATGCCATCTGTGTTATGTGAGAATGACTCTCCTCACACAACTCTAGTCCAGTCCTCCCTCCCTGTGCTGGAGCCCAGGGTGAATGGCTGTGGATGAAATCTTGTAGGTTGGCCCTTTAAGAGGGTGCCTGTGTTTCTAGCAGACAGAACGGTCACTGATTTTCACAGCTAGGTGTTATGTGGGTGCCTCTGCCAAGCTCTAGTGCTCTGAGCTGGAGAGTCCAGAGTGGGGTTGAGACCCCACACATCTCATAATCCACAGCTTAAGATATCCCTCTGGAACCTCAGTGCCATGGGAGCAGAGCCAGCATTTTTCACATCTCTGCCCTCTTCTCCAGTCTCAGTTTGGCTTCTTCTGTAAATCCTTGGTTATATGCCTTCTCTTCAGCTAGTCTTGGTCCTGGCTAGATAGCTCAGTTGGTTAGAGCATCATCCAGATATGGGAAGGTGGTGCATTCGATCCTCGGTCAGGGCATATACAAGAATCAACCAATGAATGCATAAATAAGTAGAACAACGAATCAGTGTTTCACTCTGAAAAAGGCAGTATATTAAAAAATGACTAGCTAGTCTTCGGTTGGTTGTTCAGGACGATCTATAATTTAGTTGTATGTCCAGTTGGTCCACCAGTCTGCTGCCATCTTGGATTCTCCTCTCCTTTTTTTCCTCTCATACTCCACATCCAGTTTATTGGCAAAGTCAGTTGGCTTTGCCTTCAAAATATACGTTGAATCTCAATTATCTCTCACCACCTCTACAGCTACCACTCTGGTGTAAAGATTGTTGTCTCTTCTGTGGACTGTTGTAAAGTGGTTTCTTAATTAGTTTCCTTATTTCCATTCATGTTCTCTACAGTCCATTCTCCACACAGCGGTGATCCTTTTCAAAGATGTCAGATCATGTCACTCTTAGGCTTTCACTCCAGGTGCTTCTTCATGTGACCTCTTCTTAGTTTCTCATCTTCTAGTTTTTCCTCTCCAGCAGGGAGCCTGAATTTCTTACATGGTGGCTCAAAGCTTTAAGAAGGAGTGAGCAGACGCTGTTTGGGCTCTGAAGTCCCAGAATGTCACTTTCTCTATACATTTTGTTAGAGCCCAGATTCAAAGGTTAGGACAAACTCAGCCTCTTGATGGAAGAAACAGCATTTGTGTTCAGGGAGGAATGGAATTGTTTGTGGCCCTCTGTGGAGATTAGCTACCACCACCGAAACGGCCTGCGTCATCTGGCTTGGGCTACTCATCCAGCTTCAGTTCTCCTTGCTCCCTGGGCCCTCTTGTTTTTTAACATGCCAGACAGATGATCACCCAAGACCTTTGCTCTCAAAATTTCCATTTCCTAGACCATTCTTCCCCTGTGTAATAAAATGTCTAGTTCCCTTATTTCCTACATGTTTCAGTTCAAATATCATCACTTTAAGAAAGCTTTTCCTGACTCCTTAGACTTAAATAACTATATCAGTTTTGTTGTTGGTTTTTTTTTTCTTGCTGCATAACAAGTTACCACAAACTTAGGAAGTTAAAACAACACCCATCCATTAGCTCACAGTTCTCCAGGTCAGAAGTCTGGGACAGCATGTTTGGGTCCTTGGCTCAGTGTATCTCACAAGGCTGAAATCAAGGGTTGGCCAGGCTGACTTCTCTTCTGGAGACTCGGGGAAATTTTTCTTCTCAGCCCATTGTTGTGAGCAGAATTCAGTTCCTCTCCTTTGTAGAATTGAAGTCCCTCCCCTTTTACTTACTGGCTATCAGCTCCTAGGGGCTGACTGCATTCCTTGCCACATAGACTTCTTCCTCTTCTGCAACCAACTGGCAAAAACTCTGCTTTCAAAGTGCTTATTTGATTAGGTCAGATCCACCAGAGTAATCTCCTAACCTTAAGGTCAACTAATTTGAGACCTTAATTAAATCACAGCAGTACCTACATGTTTGTTTGAAAAACTGAGAGAAGATGTGTATACACCAGGAGCCAAGAGTCTTGGGACCATCTTATAATTTTGTGTGCCCCCTTATCCTGCTTTATTTTTCTTCCTAGCATTATAGACATTGTATTTCCTGTTTATTTGGTTATGTTTTTAACTTGCTGTACACACTAGAATATCAGCTGTTTTTGTCCAGTGTTATATTCCCAGCACCCAGGATAGTGTTTGACACATTGTAAATGCTCAATTAATATTTATTAACTAAACCAATTAATAAAATTACTTTATAGCATATAATCTTTTTAATCCTTGCCCAAGGATACATTTATTGATTTGAGAGAGAGGGGTCAGGGTTGAGAGAAACAAACATAGATGTGAGAGAGAAACATTGATTGGTTGCCTACTAGACATGCCCTGACTGGTGACCAAACCCTCAGCCGAGGTATGTGTGCTGACCAGGAATCAAATCTGTAACCTTTTGGTGCACAGAACAATGCTCCAACCAACCAAGCCACACTGGCCAAGGCTATAGCATATAATTTTGATGAGAGTGGAGATGGGATTTTTTGGAAGGTAAGTGTAGATGAAACATGTAACTGTTATTTAAGCTTTAGTTCCAAATTTAGCATCTCAAATTATTCATTGGCCTTTCTTTGTATGGAGAATTTATTTCACTATTAAAAAATAAGTTGTCGGTAATTGTATAAATGTCTAATAACTGGTGTATACAAGAAAAAGCAAATTAGCTTTTTTTGCTTGTGAGTAACAACTTAATATGCTTTCAACTTTGGATTTTCATCTATATATCTCCAAATAATGTCTTCCTGTGAACTTTTGGAAATGAGTGCCTAGTCATTCAACAGTATTCCAACTTACCAACTTACTGTGGTATTATAGTTTGCCTTGTGATTGCTATTCACAAACATTTAATTACTAATAGAGTAACAGAATGAGCTCTGTCATATAGACATAACATAGCATGCAAGACCAGCAAATTATGCATTTCCCTCATTTTCAGCACTTATGATTATGTTTGTTTAATCCACCCCTTCTACAGACAAAACTTGCCAATGGCACTTCCAGTATGATTGTGCCCAAGCAGCGGAAGCTCTCGGCAAGCTATGAGAAGGAAAAGGAACTGTGTGTCAAATATTTTGAGCAGTGGTCAGAGTCCGATCAAGTGGAATTTGTGGAACATCTTATATCCCAAATGTGCCATTACCAACATGGGCACATAAACTCGTATCTTAAACCTATGCTGCAGAGAGATTTCATAACTGCTTTGCCAGGTACGTCTACGGGTGTTTGTGAGCCATTAATTTGCTTGGAAGATATGACAATGGTAATGGTACTGGATGTTCAGCTATACATCTCTGTTTTTAAAAGTCTTTACTGGCTTGATTTTTACAAACTGAGTCCTTTAATTGTACCTTCTTGGAGTATAAATTAAAAAAAAAAAAAAACTCTGGAAACAGAAACTCTTCTTTTCTCTATTTTCTCCCTTTTTACCCACACACCAGTCAAGTAACATCTTTTCTGGTTTGAGAAGTGTGTTGGTTTCAAGATATGTTAATTTGCTATACTTGGCTTTGGATTTCTAAGGGAGTTTATCAACAGAATATTTAAACCATAGGAATGAATAACAAACATTTTTGAATATTTAGAAAGAGTATCTCAGGATATAAATTCCAGGCTTTGCAATCTCACTGTGCACAGTAACCAGATAGCTGTTGTAAACTGTGTGTGTGTGTATTTGTGTACAAACACACTGAAGTATCCATATATGCACACATACACAAACTTAAAAAATACTTTGTTATGGAAGGTTTTATGGTTGTGTTACTGAATGATGGTGATCTAGGACATGCCATAAGCGAAGTTTAAAATATAAAAATAAAATTTTCCAGAGCCCCACCATTCAAAGAGAACTACTGATGTGCTATTAATATTTTGGCACGTAGCCTTCTTGTTATTTCTAGGGGTGTGTGTGTATGTGTGTTTCCTTCTAAAGCTGAGCTCTTAACGTGTTTGTAACATTTTTTCTTAATATTTCTCTCAATGTATTTTCTAAGTATTCTTTTAAAACATTTTTATAGGCTTAATTTCTGTTTTTATTTTATTTTAAACTTTTTAATTTAAATTATTTTATTGTTGTTCAATTACAGTTTTCTGTATTTTCTCCCCACCCCACCCCCTCCAAACTACCTCCCTCCCCCCACCCTCCCCCTTGGTTTTGTCCATGTGTCCTTTATAGTAGTTCCTGAAAACCCTTCTCCCCACTGTCTCCTCCCCTTTCCCCTATAGAATTAATTCTTTTTTTTTAAGGATATTATATTTTTTTAACTTTTTTATTGATTATGCCATTACATTTGTTCTATTCCCCCCCTCCATTCCCCTCCACCCTGCATACCCCTCCCCCACCATTTCCCCCTTTAGTTCATGAACACGTGTCTCAAATTCTTTAGATTCTGTATTTCCCCTACTATTCTTACCCTCCCCCCTATCTATTTTCTATCTACTGTCTATGCTACTTATTTTCTGTACCTTCTCCCCCCCTTCTCCTCCTCCCACTCCCCTGTTGCTAACCCTCCATGTGATCTTCATTTCTATGATTCCGCTCCTGATCTAGCTGTCCTCTTAGTTTGCTTTTGTTTTAGGTGTGGTTGTTAATAACTGTGAGTTTGCTGTCCTTTCACTGTTCATCTTTTTTATCTTCTTTTTCTTAGGTAAGTCCCTTTAACATTTCATATAATAAGGGCTTGGTGATGATGAACTCCTTGAATTTGGTCTTATCTGAGAAGCACTTTATCTGTCCTTCCATTTTAAATGAAAACTTTGCTGGGTAGAGCAATCTTGGTTGTAGGTCTTTGGTTTTCATGACTTGGAATACCTCTTTCCAGCCCCTTCTTGCCTGTAAGGTGTCTTTTGAGAAATCAGCTGACAGTCTGATGGGAACTCCTTTGTAGGTGACTGTCCCCTTAGCTCTTGCTGCTTCTAGGATTCTCTCCTTCATTTTAATCTTGGCTAATGTAATGATGATGTGCCTTGGTGTGTTTCTTCTTGGATCCGACTTCTTTGGGACTCTCTGAGCTTCCTGGATTTCCTGGAAGTCTATTTCCTCTGCCAGAATGGGGAAGTTCTCTTTTATTATTTGTTCAAATAAGGTTTCCACTCGTGGCTCTTCCCCTTCTGGTACTCCTATAATTCGGATGTTGGAACATTTAAAGATGTCCTGGAGGTTCCTAAGCTTCTCCTCATTTTTTTTGAATTCTTGTTTCTTCATTCTTTTCTGTTTGATCATTTTTTTCTTCCTTCTGGTCCACTCCATTGATTTGAGTCCCAATCTCCTTTCCATTACTATTGGTTTCCTGTGCATTTCCCTTCATTTCAATTAGTTTAGCTTCCATATGTTTCTCTAATTTGTGACTAAAATCAACCAGTTCTGTAAGGATCCTGATAACCAGTGTTTTGAACTGTGCATCTGAAAGATTGGCTATTTCCTCATCGCTTAGATCGATTGGTTCTGGGGCTCTGAGTTGTTCTAGAGCCATTTTTGGTCAATTCGCCCCATTAAGTAAGTGGAGCAAAGCCTTAATTGTTTACCAGGACAGGGCGACCCAGGTTGCTGGTTTGTGACGCTGTGTGTGGGGGCGTGGTCAGAGAGGGAGCAATGGCGGTCCTCTCCGCTAGCCCAGTCCGTCCAGTCACACCACTCACCCCGGCCTGTTTATCCGATCAGAATTGTGCGAGCCTGCTGCCCCCAGCAGGCTCCCCTCCTCACTGGTTTACCTACATGCAGATGCTCGACCGACCGCAGACAGCCCGCCGAGCCTCTTCCCTGTGCGCTCCCGTAGCCAGCCCGCGATCAGCGCCTTCGGCTGCTCGCGCACCACCCGTTCGGGGATTTTTTCTTGCCAACCTGCTCCGCTGCTGGCTCCTCTTACCGGTTTAGCTGAGCATTTAGTTGTCTTTGGACTTTGTATTGTCGATTTTCTGTGTGGCTTGGTTGTGTTTATTATTGTTAAAAATAGTTGTTCTTAGATTTGGTTGTGCACAGAGGCAAGGTGGTTCCACCTACATCTCCATCTTGGCAGAAGTCCGGATTAATTCTTTATGATGGTTAAAACACATGGTTAATCTCTTTATTGAACATTAAAGTAGTTTAAAATTTTTCCCTATTATAAACAATTCGTGGTGGACATTCTTATTTTCAGTAATCTTTTGGACATCCTAGGGAAAAATACCAGAAGTGGGATTCCTATATTAAAAAACGATGAGAATTTTAAGGCTTTTATAACATGTGCCAAACTATCGTCTAAGAAAAATATACCAACCGACACCTTCCCCAAAACTGTTTATTACAACTTTGCTTAATCTTTGCCAATTATAGCTTTTTTTTTTACATTTGTTTTTCCAAATTGTAATTTACATTGCTCTTTAAAACAAAAGAAATGCCTGGGTATAACTTAGTAATAACCATTTTAAAACCGATTTTGTACCTGCATCTTTTGTTGAATAGAATAGGATTCTGCCCCCTCTTCACTCGTTGGACTTTGTTCCAGCCTCAGGCCATCAGTTTTCTTTGTCCAAACAACCTGTGCGTGCCTCACTGCTGTGCTCTGCCCACTCACTGAGACCCGTTGCTCTCCCAAGCATGTGCCACTAAGAACTGAACAGGAGTTGATTAGGCCAGTGTAGCCCTTTGCCTAATACTGATCCCTGGTGTGTATCTGCTGACCACTTTACAAGATTAACTCATCAGTCTAATTCTTTATGTCCATTTTAACTTAAAAACCTACATCATCTGGCTACATTTAGTAAGCCAAACTGTTTCAAAAAATGCCTGTAATCCATTAATGTAATGGGTTTGTTGGGAGTGTTAGGTGAAATTACTTCCAAAGACTTATAGTAGGGACATTGTGAAAGATCAGGAGCAGTTCAATGGCAGCCATTAAAAGCACAGGAATAGATTTTGGAAACTTCTCATGGTGTAGAAAGTTTCAGTATAAAGATGTAGAAATTGTATCATCACTGTATTTTGCATGAAGAACTGATTATTATATCTTTAATTGGCTTATAATAATGTTCCTTTAATAAGATTGAGGTGATAGATGCCTCCATCTGCTTATGCTTAAATATGAACATGTGATGCCAGCCAAACAAAATTCGTTTAATGCTTCCTTTTCTAAATCTGCTGAAAAATGTGACTGATATCCATACAATCTTTATAATTAGAATAATGTTTAAACACATTTGGATTGTTGTTAATGGCGTCCAAGTGTGTCTGTACAATTCAGGGGAAAGGCAAAAATGAAGTGTGGCCTTCTTTTCTGTTTATTAAGTTTGTGCCTGAGGGAGTCAGAGTTTGAAGGAGTCCTCCTGCACTATTTAAGTCTTTAGCAAACCTTCAATATGTAACCCATAAAGAGAAATAACCCCGGATGTTTTTGTCTCACTTGTGAATTAGAACAGCAGCCAAAAGGTTTATTAGCGTGATCATCCTATTTTATAGGGTCTATTCCTTTGAGGCTTCGGTGCAGATTTGACTGGTAGAGAATTTTAATTGGGAAGCCCATCTTGTTTACACAGCCCAAGATCTACTTGTCCACCGTTTTGTTTTTTTCTGTACACTGGACAAAATAGACTGAAATTCTAACCAAGTTATCTGTGGGTCTGGGATTTTTTTTTTTTCCCATTTTTGGTCAACTGTCATTTAGGTTTTATAGCGGCAACTATTCTCAAATATAGTCTTTTTTTTTTAACATCTGAAATTAAACTCATCCTTGAACTTAAACATACCTCTCTGTGTTCCCTCTCGGGATGTTCCTATACCAATCTGTATTTCCTTCTCTCCTTTCTGCATGCCCAAAATTCTATAACCCAGCACATTCTGACTTAGTGCCTCTCCCCCAGTACATTTAAAGGATATTTCTTTTACTGAACAGCTTTGGAACTGCAGCAGTAATAGAAACAGAATGAGAAATGGACCTAATATAGAGATTTGGGGGGGTCTGAATCACAGAGTTGGAGATGCCATCCATAGAACATCCCCTAGTGCCGAAATCCATAGATAGATGTGAATTGTTTTCTGAAATCCTTTTTATTTTTAATGTCTTGGGGGGTTTGCTGGATGTTAGCTTTAACTTCCTTATCTAGAGGAAGATAGAAAATACTGTTCATTTCTGTAACCTTATGGAAAAATTATTGACACTCATTTGACCTAAGTCTCTGTTTGAAAAAGAAACTGGACTGCACTAAAAACAGTAATGTGCCTTCATAGAATAAAAGCTGTCCTGTTTTAAAGAACCATTCTTAAAAAATCATTCACTACCTCTGTTCTTCTCCTTTGCCTCCTCTTGCCACCAAAAGCTCGGGGTTTGGACCACATTGCTGAGAATATTCTGTCATACCTGGATGCCAAATCTCTATGTGCTGCTGAACTGGTGTGCAAGGAGTGGTACCGAGTGACATCTGACGGCATGTTATGGAAAAAGCTCATTGAGAGAATGGTCAGGACAGATTCTCTGTGGAGAGGCCTGGCAGAACGGAGAGGGTGGTGAGCCTTTTAACTTTCTTACTGTTACAGAGCTTCAGGACCTGGCTACACAGTCATTGGAATATCGCTGAAAACCAGTGAGACCACTTCTGATTTACTACAGTGATTTTGCTGGTTTATAGCAAAAAAATGTCAGAGTTGTTCATGTACTTGGCAGTTTTTCTTCTGACCAATCACACATAAATGACATAATAATGTGTTCATACTGCTTTGCAAAAAATAATGAAAAACTGATCAGCCCTCCTATTTAAAGCATATTCTGTTCTCTGGGTAAAAACAGTACCCTGAAAAAGGGCTGAGGGGCAATTTATAAGGCAGGTAGATGCCTTTGAATCACAAAGAAGCCACCAGATTCAGCTTTCCCCTAAGCCTGTCCAGAACAAATAATTTTCTCCTTCAGAAGATTCCTTGCCTTTAGCCCCTGCCTGTGCTGTTTTATCACCTTTGCAATCAAAATTATTTTTATGCCCAACTAGAATAAGAACTATAGCCATCAGAAGAGTGAAAGATGGACTTTGGCATAAATAATTGTTTCTTCATAAGACTCTTATATTTTCTCAAGATTTTACTGCTTAATCCTAAATTCCTTAAGGCATTATGTAGTCAGCAGCCTGAGACTTCAGCATTTTGTTGTTTTCTTACCAGAGTGGTATCGTTTTATTCGAACTTCCAGAAGATGCCTTCTATATATAATTTTCACTCAGAGGATGCCCCTAGAATGTCACTCTAAGAAAGTCAGGTGTAAATATTTCCGTAAAATAAAGGTGGCATTCGTGCTGTGGCCGACTGAGCCACACCAGCAGGAGGGGCATGCTCAGTGTCACCCAAGCCCATAGTCCCGTCAGCTGTTTTCCTCGGACCACACAGATGACAAAACAGCCCAGAGTGGAGGGCCAGCTCTTCTGAGCGATTTTCATAAAAATATATTTGGCTCCCTTCCTTTTCTTTCATCTTAGAAATTAATTAATATGTAATAAACAAAATAGCCTGTAAATATTATACTAAATGCTGCAAGAGATTTCTGTCATTCTGGCTATTAGGAAGACTTTAAAATTTCTCTCAAATCTAATTGAAGCAAATGTCAGGCAGTTCTTTGGCTATTTAAAAATTGCATCAGTGAAAGTATTTTGTTATGTCTCCTTCCCAAATGTGTTTTTTATCACTTATTTCACTATATAGGAAAATAGAAACCTTATCTTTCATAGCTTATTTCATATTTTGGAAATAAACTCTTATAGTAGGAAAAAGCAAAATAGTATATAGTTATATGGTATTCAGAGTCCATCATTTCGTTAAGCTCACCAAGACCAGCCTTGCAGGTAGAGCAGGCAGTCACTTGCATGGGAAAATGTTAGGGCAGCTCGGAATGTCCTCTACCCCTGGGGCGGGGGTGGGGGGGGGGAGAAAAGAAAAGAAACTCTCCTCCAAATAACTCTTGACCTGAAATTTCTGTTGTAGAGATTCATTCCCATAGCTATGAAGGTTTTGTTCCCTGTTAAACTACATCTAGTTCCCATTTGGACTGTAAAGGACAGTGAGCCTTTATCAGACACTGAGAGTTTACAAAGTCTTTTTTGAAGATAGGGAGAACCAGAAATACACAGACAGATTTTGGCAGATGGATGTGAAAATGCTGGAGATAAACACAGGCTTCACAATTTTGCTTACAGTTGACACTGAACAGCAAGGTCTGTTCTGTAAGCTGTAGGGGGCGGGCAGAGGGGAGATTATTGGAGAGGTGGCCTTTTGGCCTTTTGAAAGGGGTATATAAAGGTATAGCAGAGAAATAATCCAGGACCCAGCCTTTTCACTCTTTCCCAATCTCTTCAGCCATAGGAACTGACTCCTGCTTTTTGAGTGTCCATCAGGGTTCTGACTACATTCCTTTGTTTTTGGCCATATTTATCAAGTTAGCGTGATACAGCCCCATGAAATTACAAATATTTGTCTTTGGTTCCCCATGAAGACCCCTTCCAGTATGCCCTTGACTTTCTGTGGCTGTTTCTATTTTTTACATGTTGCCTTTCTTCCTGTGTTGGTATCCTCCTCCCACTTTTTAAAAAAATTTAGTCTATGATCAGTCTTTCATTTTATTCCTCAAGTTATCTTACTGAGCCTACTACATCAGTAAAGTCTGTTACACCTTTTCCCAAATGCTGTCTTTGATAGTTCCGTCCATTTCTTCCAACCAAAAAATAAGTAAATACAGTTTTCTAATAAAGCTTTTGATTTAACTTCTACTTTGCTGTTGTAATTTATATCTAGGTGAATTTGACAGTCTGACTGTATGCCATGAATTCTGTCAGTTTCTCTCTTGAGTAATACTGAATATGCTCTCTCTGCTCAGTACTGGTAACTCTTAAAAATATAACAAAAGACAACCTGGGAAAAGTCCATTTTTTAAATAAGCAGATCACATTGGTGATAACATTCTGAGCTTAATATTTAGCGTTTATCAGGCACTCACACTCTCAGAGACTCTAGGCATTTCATATAGCAGCGGTCCCTGTGGTCAAAGAGCTTCCATTGTGAAAGGTTTTGACTTACAACATAGATAGACTGAGGAGCCAGTTTTGAATACCTAGCCACCCCTTTTTGTAATCCCTTTGATTTGAAGAAATTCAGATATTTTAGCAAGTCAGGGTAACTACAGTGCAGTAGGAAATGATCTCATCAAGCTCAGTCAAGGTTGACGTGATTTCTCTTTCCTTAGGTGTAGAGTTTCATTGTTTATGAAGAAAACCTAGAGAGTGTGTGTAACCAGAGATTAAGAGGAGGACAGGAATCGCTGAGGAATAGTGGGCACTGGGAGACCACAGAGTGGTTAAGGCGTGGGACCCGAAGTCAGACTTTGATTCAGACCTCGGCTCTGCCCACTGGCTGTGTGGCCTTGGCAGGTCACTCAAACCCCTGACATTTGATTTCTTTATCTGTACAATTAATACAGTGACTCCTACCTCATTATATGATGTTGGAGTTGAATTATTATCATTATTAACCAGATTTAGAATCTCTTCATTCAAAATCTATTGTTTGTCTGCAGTGTGTTTCTAGAATAAGATTATTTAGAAAAGAGTACCTTTAATCCAGAATTATTTCAGTGTATCTTGTTTAGCCCTTTTCTTTTTGTTGGTGTATCCTGTAGCTTGATCCTTTATTCCTTTTTAAAAACTATTATTTTAGCTCCTTTGCAGATTTTTTTAAGAGATTTTGTTTATTTGTTTAGAGAGAGGGGAAGGGACCTGGCTGGCATCTCGGGCATGTGCCCTGACTGGGAATTGAACCAGCGACCTTTTGGTTAGTAGGCTGGCATGCAATCCACTGAGCCACACCAGCCAGGGCTCCATTGCAGATTTCCCTCTCTGTATTAACACACAAGTCAGAGCCAGCAGCTACCTTCCTGATAGGAAATTTCCTCAGCTAATTTTCAAGGTGTATAATAGAAGAGGGCAGGGGAGAAACGCTCCTGGAGATACGAAACAATTAATTATATTGTAATGGAGCTATAGAGGGAGGAGTGGATGACTGGCCCAGAGAAAACATGGTTTCTCCGGTGCCAGGATTACACTCAGAGGCATTTCCGCCTATCTCCACTTTGCAAGGCACAGTGCCAGTGAGAACAGCAGTTAGTACACCCATAGTGGGGTTTACTAGCTTCCACACCGTGTTTGGTGGGTTCTTAACTTCAGGATAAGGAATTAAATTTTTTACCCAGCAGGAAGTGATTGCCATTTACTGATTTTTTTTGTAGCAAAGATCTAGCTTGGGATATGAGTATTCCAGAGATGTGCTGTCATAAGGAAGGAGATGCTAACAAATGTTGCTCACTGGAATCAAGGAAAGGCAGTAAAATGCATGTATGTATGTGCATAGCCAGGAACACACCTGTGAAAGTCAATTTCGTGCCTTAGACTTGACGGCACAGTGCTTTTAGGCATTTCTTTTCATCTTCTTCCATACCTGCTTCTGAACACTCCTGTGATCCCTTTGTTTTCTGTGCAAATGAACTGAATTGCTCTTTTTAAATCATAGCTACACTGGTTACCAGCCAGCAGCCTGGGTGCCTGAGTTGCCAACACACCTTAACCCACATAAATGAAAACAAAAAAAGTATTCTCCGTGACAGAGGCATTCCAGCTGCCCGTGATGCTGGGCTCCACTGACTAGCACCACTTTTCTCAGTGAAGTAAGACTGGGGGGCAGGCACCTAGTCCAAAGGGAGGGGGTCACCATCACAAACAAAATTCTCAGAAGATAAGGCCAGTGAGTATGTTAGTCCAGAGGTCTGATAGACCAGCAGGTGAATTCTGAGTATACGTATTTCATTTATCTGCTGACATCTGAAGACCTGATCTGCACATCTTCTACACTGGAAATCACCATGTTTCACACAAAAACAAATTGAGGTGGGCCCAGTTCCTTAGAACCCAGAAAGTTACTCCTTGACGTGGGACTCCTGAAATCGGACTTAACGTCACATCTCTTTATGCTAGTTAAGGAGACATATGGAATGGTAACTGTGAAAATACTTTGAAGAAATACGAAACTCATCGTGAATGCATAATATTACGATTTTTATTGGGAAATATTTGTTGTTTTTTAGGGGACAGTATTTGTTCAAAAACAAACCTCCTGACGGGAACGCTCCTCCCAACTCTTTTTACAGAGCACTTTATCCTAAAATTATACAAGACATCGAGGTAAGAATCTATGTATATTTGTGTATTTACCAAATACTAGAGAATCAACAACAATCTTCAGTAACGGCATTGTTACAGCAAACTTGGTTTAAGGTTTATGGATGTGGGTCAACAAACAGTTTCTTGATAAGAGAATAGAGTAAGTAAGATACAGTAAATTACTAGGCAAAAATTTGTGTTTAAAAGTTGTTTACCTAATAAATAGGTGAGAGAGAAAGACTATGATGTCTTCACATAACAGCAGTAAGACTGCTAAAGTTGCACTCTTAACCTGGTACTCAGATACCTTCTGAATTGAGAATACCTTCCTCCATGGAAGTTCACTGGTAGCAATGGCTGCCACGCAGGTAGCAAGAGCCCTGAGCACATAACCTCAGGTGGTTCATAGCTTGCCCTCCATTGGTGAGCAGTCTCTTTCTACCAGGTTTATTATTTAATTGTATTAATTATATGCAGGAGAGTTCTAGGAAATAAATGTTTAATTACAAATGGAAAAAATGTTTTCTGATTTTCAATAGTGGCTTTTTTATAACAATTTCTTAGTTTGCCTTAAGTTCTACGTAGCCAGTAGAGTGAAGCCTTGAACGCTTATCATTGGTTGCTCGACAGATACGAGTTTAGTTCTGGCCCTTTCCTAGTTACTACCTCTTTCCCATTCCTTCTTTTCAGACAATAGAATCTAATTGGAGATGTGGAAGGCACAGTTTACAGAGAATCCACTGCCGAAGTGAGACAAGCAAAGGAGTTTACTGTTTACAGTATGACGATCAGAAGATAGTCAGCGGCCTTCGAGACAACACTATCAAGGTGAGTTTTCTTCAGTTGTGGGAAGGTAGCTGAAGAAACGAGGGCGATCACATTCATAAAACTATCCAAAGCATAAATTCTAAGTGTGATTTCCAGGAAGTAAGTTAGTAGTTTAGATTGTTTCTAGTCCCAAAGCCAAAATCATTTCCCTAAAGAACAGATACCTGCTTCCCCCCAAGGAGAGCATCCAAATAGATTGCTAAATTCTCTTCTTGAATTCCACTGAATGGGCTATTACTCTTGGCCCTCACATAATTATAGGCTACCCCCGTTCCTTAATGAAAAGGATAAAGTCTGCATTAGTACTGAAGCCACATATATATAGTGCTTAGCTATACTGAGAGAAAAGAATGCATTCCACACTACTCTGGGCTTTGATTCTTTTGGGGAATCAAACACATAATAGAGCTAGCAAGTCTCTGCAGCACCCCATTATCATGGTGATCAAAAGGATCTTGTTTGCCCTCCTAGATCTGGGATAAAAGCACATTGGAATGCAAGCGAATTCTCACAGGCCACACGGGTTCTGTCCTGTGTCTCCAGTATGACGAGAGGGTGATCATAACTGGATCATCGGATTCCACGGTCAGGTAGAAAATTTCAAATGGTTTTTTGAACTCTGAAATGCCAGATCCACTCTGTTCTTTGTCATAGATAGTAACTCTGTGTATAGCTGCATGAACACTGTTCTGAAACTTCATAACTAAAGAAGAATAAGCCATCAGTTCCCCCCATCATGTCAGTCTAGAACTAGAAAACTTGAATTAGGAATGCTTAAGGTAAGTTTACATTTTTGTACATTTAAGAAACGACACAGCCTATTTTAATTTGCAGGAATCATGCATTATAAAAACTTGGTAAACCCTGCATTCCTTACAAAAACCACTTCACAAGGGAATGACATGACAGGAATGAAGCCTTCCTTTCAGGTAGTTATAACTGCAGTGCAGGCATGCATTATCTCTTTTAAAATGCGTATAGGTGAGCAGTGCTCTCTCTTCGCCAACCCCTCCCCTGCTGTCCCTGCAGTTTTTAATTGTGAGCTTCACTCAGGGAGGGGCCTTCAATTTCCAGAGGCATTAGTGATTTGATGACACAGCCATTATGCTGCTGGAGTCCAGTGCAGCTCGAGTTCTGGGTACCAGAATCACCGCTGGAAACCTCTGTTAGGAATTTTGCCTTAAGCTAAAGGATTTAGCAAACATAATGCATCAAAAGTAACTTTTTTTTAAATAGGGAGGAAAAAGCAGTTAACTGCATTGTTAGATTCTCTGAAGTTAAATGTTTACCATTCCCCGTTATCCTCTGTGAATAGAAAAAGCTGTTCTTGTTTCTCGTCTTGACTTAAAGGCATTGCAAACTCAGTTCTTATAGTTATCGACATTTAACATTTATTGGTACATGTGGAGTGCCTCAAGGAAGCCGAAACAGTGTAAAGGCTATCATATATATAGGATAAAGGAAAAAATGATTTTCTGAAAAAGGGGGGGTTAAACTGGAAAAGGAAATAAAAACGTGTTATAGAAACCAAAGTAAATATACAAAAATAGAGTAATCAAAGTCAAATACTGTATTTTATCACACAAAATTTTCAAGCTGTCCAAGGGTCCCACACTCTGCTGCGATGCCCATATTTACAGTGGATAGCTATTCTTGATCCCAACCCCCATTCGAAGCACAGAAGTAGGGTCTAAGTAATCTTGGACCTGGACCTCTGTGGTGAAATCTAAGATCCAAGATCATCAAACTGAAATTCATAGTACTAACTAAATCAGTCTGTTACAGAAGCTTCTTGGCCTATATCAGTACTAGTTCCTGAGGGCTAATGCTCCTATTATTAATCAGATTCCCAGTCTGAAATGTGTATTATTAATGGCATCAGATTGAACATCAGAAGCTTTATAATAATCTTGAGATCTGTGTCCAATTAGTAGGTGAAGGTGGCTGCTACCTCATTCCTACCCCCACACATGCCCACATTTCAAGTAGTGTGTCTTAAGCATTCCACATCAGCAGCAGCCCATCTCCTTCCTTTCCCCACTTTCCCAGTCTATCCCTCTACCTACCACCACCTCATGGCCCACCCATACTCTGTACCTCAGTTCAACTTACAAGCTGCAGAAGAAGGGTAGGGTGTAGTACTATGAACATGGAACAGAAGGTATGGGAAGTGGCGATGGTCAAATCCTGGTCATAGATTGTAGCATCAGTACCATCAAAATCTCAGATAACCTTCTTATTTATTGTTTGTTCCAGGGTGTGGGATGTAAATACAGGTGAAATGCTAAACACATTGATTCATCATTGTGAAGCAGTTCTACACTTGCGTTTCAATAATGGCATGATGGTGACCTGCTCCAAAGACCGTTCCATTGCTGTATGGGATATGGCCTCCCCAACTGACATCACCCTCCGGAGGGTGCTGGTCGGACACCGAGCGGCGGTCAACGTTGTAGACTTTGATGACAAGTACATCGTTTCTGCATCTGGAGATAGGACTATAAAGGTAAAAGACATTTGCAATAAGCCCCCAACTTAAGAATAGGGGAATCGTGAAAACCCGATCGAGGGCTAGTTAATATTTAGTTCATATACTAGTCTATGTGTAAAAAGGCAATTAATGAGACAAGTTGTATGACAGTTTTTCTAAATATTTTATTTATTTATTTTTAGTGAGAAGGGAAGGGAGGTAGAAAGAGAGAGAGAAACATCAGTGTACAAGAGAAACATTGATCAGTTGCCTGTCACGTGCCCCCAACTGGGGACCTGGCACGCAGTGCAGGCATGTGCCCTGACCAGGAATTGAACCAGCAACCGTTTGGTTTGCAGGATAATGCTTGAGCTACACCAGTCAGGGCAAGTTGTGTGACAATTTTGGTTATGTATTTTATTACTATAAATTTTCAATTTTCAACCCGTGTGCCACAAGAATTTTTAAAACATGCCATACCTGGCTAATCAGGGGCACTAACCTCTTTTCCCTTAGATTATCAAATTAAAAAATAACCACAGCCAGCACAACAATAGCCATCTGGTATGAATGAATCAAAATTACACCTATTTTTTGTCAGATCATCAAAAATATTTTTTGGGGTGTGCTGCAGAATTTTAGTAATTAGTTTGTGTGCCGTGAGATGAGAAAAGCTGACACCTGGTGAATGGTGAGTGTGAAAAGGGTAGGGGTAAATTTAGGTTCAAAACAATGTGTCTGTAAGACCAGAAAAAACGGTGAGAGTAATCAGTTTGAGGAATCCTCATGTGATAGCAGCGAGTTCCAAATTAGCCCAATATTTCCATGAATTGAACTTGTCATTTGTTTGCTTTGATTTGAGAAGTTGACTTTATTTGGTCCTATTTTTTGCTTCTCCAAGACTCCACTAGCCATATGCTTAACTAGTGAAAGCATCAAATCAATTGCCAAATGCCATTTTCTGTCTCAGGTGTGGAACACAAGTACTTGTGAATTTGTAAGGACCTTAAATGGACACAAACGCGGCATCGCCTGTTTGCAGTACAGAGACAGGCTGGTCGTTAGTGGCTCATCCGACAACACTATCAGGTGAGCAGCAGGTGCCCTTGCACAAGAGGACCAATATCATCCTGTCATTCATTGTGTGTGCACAATTCAAATGAATCTTCAACTGTGTTATGTTTATAATAAAATGTTTTTCTTTTGTGTAGCTTCTTGCAGGTCAAAAGTTTGCCCTAAGCATGCAGGCAGCACAGCAAAGATTTTTGTTGATGTAATAACTCCCTGCAATAGTTTTATCACATGATAGACCTATTTAAAAGGTACTGCTTGAATGAGGAAGTGAGCAAGAGAGTTAAGTAGATTGAGGTTGAAAGCCCTTCTCTTTACATTTCACCTGTCTACCATTGGAAGATGCTAACAAATAGCTAAAGGCCATTTCTCTCTGACGCTGTTTTTTTGTTTTGTTTTGTTTTTTTCTTTTCTTTAGAGGAACAGGATTTGTTTCCCTACTAGAAATTGTGCATTTTGTTTTCTTAGCATCGCATAATTGGCCAGGGAGTTACCAGTCTTTGAAATTATAAAGAATCTACAAATTGAAGTATTTTTGGTGTTTTCTTCTCTTCACAAAGATGGATGACACAGATATGAATTGTATTTGGGTGATTTATCAATCCTCTCTGTTCCTTCAAAGAAGTATTAAGAGGATGAAAAGCCCATTTAAAAAAAAAAAACAGATAGAGCTATTATTGTATCTAAGGAGATTATCATTCCTAGAAATCATTTGGATCGGTCTGAAAGCATATAGTTTTTGTATATTAGTTTATAAAAGCCACTGAGAACTTACTTTGAACTACCACTGTGTGAGAAAGACTTTCCTGGTCAGCAAGTGAAAGCAGAGAGTGTCCTCAGTGAAAGAGACGGATGTGCTTTGTGAGAGCAGGCTGTACTGACATTCTTCACCTCGTTCTTATGGTGATTTCAGCAAGCGTTACTTTCCTTAGCTGGTTGTTTTCTTCACAGGAAGCTATGTGCATTGGATTCATCTTTTTTATGTTTTGGAGACCCTGGTTACAGAACTACATAAAACATTGTGCTTTGAAAATATATACTGTGTTTGAACTTAAATCATACGTATTTCTACCTGACTTATATGACAGAAAGGAAATAAATTACATTGGAAGCAATACATTTTTGTGGGGGGTCTGATTTATTTTATTTTTGTGGGTTTCTTTAAAAAACATTGAAGAACGTTATTTTAACCTTCCAAGCTTTGGAAAGAATAATGAAAATTCACTTGACTCAATTTTCTTTTCCAGATTATGGGACATCGAATGTGGTGCATGTTTACGAGTGTTAGAAGGCCATGAGGAATTGGTGCGCTGTATTCGATTTGATAACAAGAGGATAGTTAGTGGAGCCTATGATGGGTGAGTTTGCATCTGCATCTGCACCCCTCCTGTCTCAGGATGTTAAACATAGCTGCTCCTTGTCTCTGAAAGATTGTAGATGGGCCCACCACAATGGCTCTGGTGTCAGATCTCCGTATTCACCTCTCCTTTGTTCACTCTTTTCTAAAATATTCTTCCCAGTTATTTAATTGCACTTGTTTGCTCAGGATTTTTATTGATATTTGGGGTTTAGGTTATATATTTGTCTGGTTTTCCCTATATTACAAAGAACTGGGCAAATCTAGTATAACAGAATATGCATATAAAATGGTGACTTACTAATAAATTAAAACATAGGAGGGCGATATCTATAGGGCTTAGTGTGGTAGGACCTTAAATTTTGATATCTTTATTTTATTCTGTCTAATTTTCAGTGAGTATAGAATCCATTCATGTTATGAATGGATCCCATGTCTAGCAATGCCAAGCACATAGTAAATTCCTACAAAAGTATATTTGCTTATGAAGGCCTCTGTCATCTTGTCAAGGTACCCAATTTTGGGGGGGATAGAAAGCTACAGTCACATACTGGCAGCTTTTCGAACATCAGAAACTAACTTAACAGCTTTATCTTAGCATATGAACTGATTATACTGCCACCACATTATGGCAGTTCAAGCAGGGGGACGTGTAGCAGGCCTGCCTCCTCTGCTTTGAGTCAGTCATCATGCCCGTGCCCTCGGCCCACGCTCAGGGTGTTCTACAGGTGTCCAGCCAGGGCCAAGTTTATGTCTCCTCATTCTCGTGGTTTTCATCTGTACCCACCTTTCTTGGGTTTGGTCTCTTATTTATTACAAGGAGACATGACCATTTCCCCACCAAATTAGGGACGTTAATTAACTTTTAGAAGGGTTAAACTTCTCTTATTTAAATTGAAATATGAGGATTTGTTTATATAAAGTCCAAAATTCTTTAAATGGACCCAGTCCTCTGGTATGTGTGACCTGTACCATTCTTAGAATTGGCCAAAAAGAAGATGCCTCAGAATTATAGGTTTCTATGACTAAGTGATCTTTTATATTATTAAAAAGTCTAATGTGTAAGATCTGCTTATAGCCCCTAAGCATGGTGTAACTTGACCATTCCCCATCTTCATCAGTTTTGGTAAGGCTGACCCGTTTCTCATTTTTAGGTTAATCACATCCATTTCCCCCTGTTAAGACCAATAACCTCTGTTCAAGAATGAATATCAGAACCAAGTCTTCAAAACAAAAAAGTTTCTATATATTCCTGTGAGCTGCGTTTATTGTATAAACTATATTCACCATACGTATTTATCACCATGACTTTTTGCCATTCTTCCTGTGCTGCCTTAATTTTGCTTTTAACAAAGGCTTTTTTCCCCTTTTTTATCTTCAGAAAAATTAAAGTGTGGGATCTTGTAGCTGCTTTAGACCCCCGTGCTCCTGCAGGGACTCTCTGTCTGCGGACCCTCGTGGTAAGTCTTGCTGTGTAAAGGGAGCTGGGGAGTAGGAAGGAGTTAAACATTGATGTGCTGTGGAATACAGATCTGGATTCGATCGTTAGGACCTCACAAAACCTACTGTTAAGTGGAAAGGAGACCAGTACATGATAATAAAATATGTTTATATAGTATCTTTCTTATAAAAGCACTTTAGAGGTCATATATGGAGAGAAATGTGACAGCTGTTTAACAGCTGCACAGCAACTCTACACACCAGTTCAGCACAGGAAGTGAGTAAGAAGTCTGTATCCACCAGAAGCAGTAGGGGCACTCGGGGAGAAGGAGCGTGATTACTCAAACTGGAGCCTGTCCAGAATCTGAGGACCCGCACACCTGTGCCTACAGAAGTGCCACGGGAGTCTGCCTGGGCCCTGGTCAGGCCCTTATATCTGCATCCTACTCAAGGCACTCGCTGCCAGCAACTCGAATCCCACCTTCTTTACTCCTTGTATGCCCCCTTGCCTACACGTCTTGACATTTTGGGGAGAAGTGCCTCAAAAGGACTAAGGTCACTTTCAAAAGCACTAAATTCTTTATCATGGTGTTTGCCAAAGGCCTGGATTAGAAAATGTCCTAAAGTTAAATGCTGCTTCCATTAGAAAAAGATTAGGTGGGGCACTAGGTAAGACAGTCTTTTGCACAGTGAAGAGGTGAGAGAAAGCATTTGAAGCCCCAGTATTCTGGGTCCTGGCTCAACATTTAAGCAGTCTCTGCTCTGGAAAAGAGATACATGTCTTTTTCTTCCATGTTGGAATTAAAGCTTGTTCTTTTAGTACCAGGCATGCTTTACCTTCGTATTTCCACATTTTTTTTTAAATGTGTACTGTTACTCATTTACAGTTAACCTCAGTCTGGTTTTTAAAGTATAATTTACAGCTCTGGCTATTGTGGCTCAGTGGGTTGAGCACTGGTCTGCAAACCAAAAGATCACTGGTTCCATTCCCAGTTGCCTGTCCCTGGTTAGGGGCATGCAAGAGGCAACCTGTTCACATTTCTCTTGCACATCGATGTTTCTGTCCCTCTCTTTCTCCCTCCCTTCCCTCTCTCAAATAAATGAGTGAATGAATGAATGAATGTTCCTCTGAAAAAAAACTAAATGAGGAAAAATAGGTTTAAAAAATAAAGTATGATTTACATATAGCAAAATTTGTCCATTTTAGTATACTTTAAAAAAAACTTATTGATTATGCTATTACAGTTGTACTGATTTTTTCCCCTTTGCTCCCCTCCACCAGCACGCCCCACTACCTCAGGCAATCCCCTGTTCTTGTTCATGTCCACAGGTCACGCATGTTAAGTTCTTCAGCTACTCCCTTTCCTATACTGTGCTTTACATCCCCACGGCTGTTCTGCAACTACCTATTTGTACTTACTCCCCTCACCTCTCACCCATTCTCCCACAACACCCTCCCATCTCTTTGTCTTTAACCTTTGGCATTTTACTTATGATGTGTCTTGGGGTGGGCCTCTTTGCACCCATCTCATTTGGAACTCTCTGTGCTTCTTGGACTTGTATATTTCCTTCACCAAATTAGGGAGGTTTTCCTTCATTATTTTTTCAAATAGATTTTCAATTTCTTGTTCTTTCTCTTCTCCTTCTGGTACCCCTTTGCGAATATTGGAATGCTTAAAGTTGTCCCATAGGCTGTTTACACTACCCTTGGGTTTTTTTGGATTTTTTTTCTTGTTGTTCTGATTGGTTGTTTTTTTGGTTCCTTACATTCCAAACCATTGATTTGATTCTCAGCTTCATCCACTCTACTGTTGTTTCCCTGTAAATTGTTCTCTATTTCAATTAGTGTGTCCTTCATTTCTGACTGGATCTTTTTTATTCTGTTAATATCCTCACTAAATTCCTTGAGCGTTCTTATAAGCAGTGTTTTGAACTCTGCATCTGATAGATTGCTTATCTCCATTTCGTTTAGCTTTTTTTCTGGAGTTTTGATCTGTTTGTTCATTTGTGCCATGTTTCTTTGCTTCCTTGTTTTGGCAACCTCCCTGTGTTTGTTTCTATGTATCAGGTAGAGCTGCTTTGACTTGGTGTCTTGGTAGTATAGCCTAATATAGTAGGTGTCTTGTAGGGTCCAGTAGCACAACCTCCTCCATCACTTAAGTGTGAACTCAAGGTGCACCCCTTGTGTGGGCTGAGTATGCTCTCCTGTTGTAGTTGAGCCTTGGTTGCTGTTGGCAGATCATTGGGAGGTATTTACCCAGATTAATCAGCTGCAGTGATTGGCTGTGACCACTGACCACCAACCTCCACCCTCTGTGGAGGATCAGTGGTGCAGGAGCAGGGTGGTGGTGCTCCAGCGTGTCTGTAGCTGTCCACTGGGTGTGCTGGCCCTGTGGGTTTACCGGATGGTGCAGGCCAAAGTCAACTCCCACCTGTGTTTTCCCTGGGACCACCCTGCCTGACTTATAAAGCAGTCTGAGATAGCTGCTATTTGTACTGGGCTTGGAGATTCTCAGGCTGAGTCAACTGTGAATCTAGGCTGCTAGTTCCAGATCTGGAGCTCAGTGAGGCCAGCTATTGCTTATTTGAGGGGATTTTAGGAAGTTACTAAGCAGGAGCCAAGACCAGCTAGGTGCGCCCATAATTTGGGTGGGGCAGAGTCTCTGGGGATCTCTAAGGCAGGCCAAACAGTGTTAGCCAGGTAGTTGTCGACTTCCATTCAACTCGATTTCTGTCGGTTCTGAGTGATGATTGTTCTATATTTTAGTTGCAGTTTTTTTTGTGGTTGTGCGAAGAGGCGGGCCATGTCTGCCTTTGCCACCACCTTGACATGAAGTCCTTATTGCACTTCTGTGAATTGTTCAGATGTGCATATACCATAATTAATTTATACAAAATTTCCAATGTCTCCCTAAAATTATATCCCTTAGAATCACCCCTAGCAACCATTCATCTGATTTCTGTTTCTGTACTTTTGCTATTTTATGAATGTCATATAAATTAAATCATACAGTATTAGTGTTTTGCCTTTGGCTTGTTTCACTTTATTTAAGATTCATCCATAATGTTGCCTGTGTTAGAACTTTGTTCTTTTTGTAGTATTCCATTGTGTGGATAAACCAGTTTGTTTATTCATTCACCAGTTTAAGGACATTTGGAATGTTTCCAGTTTTTGGTGATACTGAAAACATTCCCATACAGGTTTTTGTATGTACATATTATTTTCATTTCTCTTGGGTAAACACCTAGAACTACAATTTATGGCTCCTATGATAAGTGTATGTTTAAATTTAAAAGAACTACTTAGCTATTTTCAAAGTGACATTTTGGGAGTTTACAAATGCATGCCATTTTAGATTTCCACTGAATGTATGAGAGGCTCATTTTTCCACATCTTTGATAGCACTTGTTATTGTCAGGGTTTTTTTTTTTAGTTATAGCCATTTCAGTAAATTGTAGTGCTTATAGTTTTAATTTGCATTTTGTGATAATTAATGGTGTAGAACATCTTTTCGTGTTCCTTTTTTGTAAAGTATCTGTTCAAATCTTGTCCTCATTTATTGAGTTGTCTTAAGTTTTTGAAAACAGATTTATTGAAATATAATTGACATACAATGAAGTGGACATATTTAAAGTATACAACTTAATAATTAATTTTAACATATGTACATACGAATGAAACTATCACTTCAACCAAGATAATGACCTTATCCTCATGCCCCCTGTGTAATCCCTCCTTCCCATTCCACCCACTTCCCCCTGCTGCAGTTACCGGGCAACCACTGATCTGCTTTCTGTCAATTATGATTAGTTTGCATTTTCTAGGGTTTAATTAATAGAATCAAAAAAGAGTGTGTACTCTTTTTTGCTTCTTTTCTTTAAGCCTAATTATTTTGATGTTTGCCCATGTTGTTGATGTATCAGTAGTTCACTGCTGAGTGGTGTTCCATTGTCTGATTTATACAACAGTTTATCCATCCGCCAGTTGATAAAAATTTGTACTGTTTCCAGTTTATGACTATTACAAATAAAGTTTCTATAAACATATGTGCAAGTCTTTATGTGATCGTATGCCTTCATTTCTCCTGGGTAAATCCTAGGAGCAGAATCGCTAAATTATATGATAAATATATGTTTAATATTTTTAGAAACAGCCAAACTGTTTTCCAAAGTAGTTGTACCATTTAACACTACAGTACAACAGCGCATGAGAGTTCCACATCCTTGCCAATACTCAGTGTACAGTCTTTTTTTAATTTGAGTTATTCTAGTAAGTGTTTCATAGTACCTCGTGATTTGCATATTCTTAATGTTAATAATGTTGAACGTTGTTCCATGTGTTTATTTGCCATCCATATATCTATTTTGGTGAAGTATCTGTTTGAATCTTTTGCCCATTTTTTTTATTAAGTGGTTTTCTTATTATTGAGTTTTGTGATTTCTTTACATATTTGGGATACCCATTTTGCTTTTTCATTCCCTTAAAAGAATCTTTTAAAACAAAAATTCTTAATTATTTTAAGGGTTTTATTTATTTATTTTTAGAGAGGGGGGAGGGAAGGAGAGAGGGGAACATCAATGTATGGTTGGCTCTTGAGCACCCCCTATTGGGGACTTGGCCTGCAACCCAGGCATGTGCTCTAACTAGGTATCGAACTGGTGACCCTTTGGTTCACAGGCCTGCACTCAATCCATTGAGCTACACCAACCAGGGTAGAAATTCTTAATTTTGATTAAGCCCTATATATCAACTTTGTCTGTTATGGTTTCCTATTTGATATTATATCTCTAAAAAAACTGCCTAATCCAAAGTCCCAAGGATTTCCCTTGTGTTTTCTTTAGAAGTTGTATAGTTTTATTAGTTTTTACATTTTGGTCCATGATGATTCATTTTTAATTAACTTTTGTAGATGGTACAAGGTGGTTCGGAGTTCGCATAGATATCCAGTTATTACAGCACCATTTATTCAGAACTGTCATTTGTCCTCTGACTTGCCTTTGCCACCTTTCCAAAAACCAGTTGACCATGTATATCTGGGTCTACTTTCAAACTTACTCAGTTCCATTGATCTTTTTGTTTATTTGTCTGTCTTTGTCTTTTTTTTTTTTTTTTTTTTTTTAGATTTTATTTATTTATCTTTAGAGGGGAAGAGAAGGAAAAAGGGAGAGAAATACCAATGTATGGTTGCCTCTCATGCGTCCCCTGACTGGGACCTAGCCTGCAACCCAGGCATGTGCCCTGACTGGGAACCGAACCCCAGGTGTTTGGTTCGCAGGCCTGCACTCAGTCCACTGTGCTACACCAGCCAGGGCCGTCTGTCTTTGTCTTGATGTCAGTGTCATATTATCTTGGTTACTGCAGCTTTTTAATAACTCATGAAATCTAATAGCATTAAGTCCCACCCCCCCCCAAAATAAATGTGCTGAGATTTTCATTGGGATCATGTTAAATCTAGATCAATTTGTATTGGAAAGAATTGACTTCTTAACAGTATTGAGTCTTCTGATCCATGAGCACAGTGTATCTCTGTTTAGGTCTCTTTAAACTTTCTCAGCAATGTTCTTATACCTTTCAGTGCAAAGATCTTATACATCTTTTATCATATTTATCCCTAAGTATTTCATACTTTTAATGCTATTGTAAATGGTATTTTTAAATTTTAGTTTCTGGATTGTTCATTGCAGATACATAGAAATACACTTTTACTTTTTTTTCAACCTGTATACCTTTTATTTCTCTTTCTTGTTTTATTGTACTAAGACCTTCAGTACAATGATCAAAAGAATTAGTAACAGTGAATGTTCTTATCATGGGGAAAAGGTACCTTGCATATACACAGATGTGTGGTAGCTATAGGTTTTCATGGGTAAACATTATCAGGGGATTGGGAGGTTCCTTTCTGTCCCTTGATAGCTGAGAGTTTTTATTAGAAGTAGATGTTGGATTTCATTAAATGCACTTATCTATACCTATTGAAATGATCTTATATTCTCACCTTTATTCTGTTCATTGGAGTATTACATTGATTTTTGAATGTTAAATACAACTTTGCATCACTACAGATTTTGTGGTCATTAAAAGGATAATAATAAGGACATACTGTGAACACAACTCTATGCCCCAAACTTGATATCCTATTCTTTCACATCAAAAGAAATAGACAATCTGAATAGGCCTGTACCTATTAAAGAAATTGAAGCAATAATTAAAAACCTCCTAAGACAGAAAGCACCAGACCCAGATGGGTTCACTGGTGAATTCTTCCAAATGTTTGAGGAAGGCATTATACCATTTCTCAACAATCTCTTCCAGAATATATCACCAAAGTGAATACTTCCTGAATTATTCTATGAAGCAGAATTACCCTGAGAGCAAAAGCAGACAAAAATATTACAAGAAAAGAAAACCACAGACCAATACATCCCATGCACACAGATGCTTGTCTATGAGTGTATTTGTACCGTGTAAAGAATGTAAAGTGGTACATCCTCTATGGAAACCAGTATGGCAGTTCCTCAAAATATCAGAGATAGAATTATGATCCAGCACTCTCACTCTGGGTATACGTTATATCCAAAAGATCAAAACCAGGATCTCAAAAAGATACTTGCACATTCATGTTCATAGCAGTATTACAGTAGCCAAGAGGCAGAGGCAGCACAAGTGTCCATCGACAGATGAATGGATAAACAAAATGTGATACACGCACACACAAATATTATTCAGCCTTGAAAAGAATGCTACACCATGGATAAAACATGAGGATACTATTCTAAGTGAAACAAGTCAGTCACAAAAAGACAAACACGACGAGGTGTCTAAAGTGGCTGAACATATACAAACAGAAAGCAGAAGAGCGGTGCCTGGGGAGTTTTCGTTTTGCCGTGTGAAAGGGCTCTGCAGACCCACTGCGCAGCAGAGCGTGTGCACTCAGCTCTGCTTACCGTGACCGGAAGGGTCCGAGATGGCAGGTGTTACATGATTATTTCCATAATTCAAAATAAAATATTCAAAAAATACTAATATAATAGGTGAATGTGCAATTTCATAACTAATATGGGTTTATTAGGTAGGGTTTGTTGGTAATATTTTTTTTTTCTAAAGATTTTATTTATCTTTAGAGCGGAAGGGAAGGAGAGAGGGAGAGAAGTATCAATGTATGGTTGCTTCTCATGTGTCCCCTGCTGGGAACTGGCCTGCAACCCAGGCATGTGCCCTAACTGGGAATCGAACCGTGACCCTTTGGTCCACAGGCCTGTGCCCAATCCACTAAGCTACACCAGCCGGGGCCTTTTTGGTAATATTTTAAACCATTTGATTCAGCTTTAAGTGTGATGTTACTCTCCTTAGGTTTAGTGATTTCACAATAAGGAAAATTTCTGAAATTATTTAAAAGGTGATAATATGCTAATAAAATGATGTAACTTATATTAAGATAAAATTCCACAAAATATTAGCAAACTGAATCCAACAATGTATAAAAAGGGTTACACACCATGACTAAGCGGGACTTATTCTACTTATGCAAAAGCAAGTATAATACTAAAAAATTAGTTCATATAATCCATCACATCAGAAGGATAAGAAGAAAAATCACATGATTGTATAAATAGATGCAGAAAAGGCATGTGGCAAACTGTAACATCCATTCACGATAAACTCTCAGCAAACTAGGAATAAAAGGGAACTATTTCAACTTCATAAAGAAAAATGTAAACTAAAACTCCAATATAATACCACTACAAATCTATTAAAATAGCCAAAATTTAAAAGCTTGGCAGTATCAGTTTGTTGAAGATGTGAAGCAACTGGAATTCTGATACAGGGCCAAGAGGAGTATAAATTGGCAGAACTTTAAAAAACTTTAGTCACACCCACTAACACTGAGTGCACACCTACTCCGTGGGCCAGCGGTGCCCCTCCTTGGGGAGATGGGAGCACGTGCCCATCAACATACATGTGCATAGAGACTTTACTTACAGTACAAGACTGGAATCAGCCTGTTGGTCCATTACAGGACACAGTACACTGTAGTGTGTTCAGGCAATGGAGTAGACTAGTAATAAAAAAAAAAATGAACTGCCGTTTCGTGCAGTAACAGAGAGGAATCTTATCATGCTAAGTGAAAGGAACCAGGAAAAAGAACACTGTTTTGAGCATATTTATATGAAATCGAAAAACAGGAAAAGTGAATTGATACCATTGGGGTGAAGGTAGTATTGACTAGCAACGGGCACAAGAAGCCTTCTGAGGTGCTGCAGTGGTGTGCTGTGTATGCCCTACAACTGCTTAGGAGAGTCAGGTAGTAAATTGTCCAGAATTTTGCAAGCTTGTTGAGCTCATACAGATAGCTCGAAATTGGCCAGGGCAGGAACTTTTACACCATGAAAATGTGCAGATGCTTTTACAAGTTGGGAGAATCCATTGATAAACATTTACCAGCACACCGCTTGGTACTGCGCATCAATCCTTGGCTGCTGGTTGTAGAAGAATCCTGGGGCTGCAGAGAGAGGATGAGGCCATGAGTAATGGTCTTGTTTAGCCCAGGGCTAGGAGAGTTAGCAGTGAGAAACCAGCATGCTCTGTGACACGTCTCAGCTCTAGTGAATATTACTTTGGTTGTGCGTGAAATCAACTGCCCAGTATTGGACTTTTCCATCTTGCCTTTAATCCAAAATTAGGTTTTTTTCTCCATTAAAACAGCTAAGTGGTAGAGAATATGATCAGCACTATATAGCCTTACCATCATCGACTCCTTTTGACATGTTGCTGAATATTTGTCCTTTTGACTTTGAGTAGTTCAAAAGCTCCCATTTCTGATTCTTTAGGAGCATTCGGGAAGAGTTTTCCGACTCCAGTTCGATGAGTTCCAGATTGTCAGTAGCTCACACGATGACACCATCCTCATCTGGGACTTCCTCAACGACCCAGCCGCCCAAGCCGAGCCCCCCCGCTCACCTTCTCGAACGTACACGTATATCTCCAGATAAATAATCATACACTGACCTCATATACTTGCCCAGGTATGAAAAAGAATTGTGTACATAGCACTGTGAGTAGGAGATGGAATATTAGCTGTCGGTGTTGCCAGCTCACGGAGTCTTCTCTTGCCCTTTGTCTTTCCAAGTTGTGAAAAGCAAGGGAAGCCGACATCATGACAGAGCCGGGGCTGTCTGTTGGATGCTGCCTTCATCGAGGTAGCCAGCCTTAGTTTTGGGTGATTCTCAAACTAGATCTAGCTGACCTGTGTGCAGTAGAACTAATAATTCCTGTCCCGATTATTTAATAGCATTCTTGAGAAAGTAAGAAATTTGAATCTGTTTCAAAACCAAGAGTAATTGACCCAAAAGCCTGTGGCTTTGTAGTTCCCAAATTAAACCAGTACCTGTGATTTAAAAAAAAAAAAAAAAAAAAAAAAACCCTTTAAATCAGGTAGTTAATCTAATGTATGAATGGGAACATCTCATGGTGAAAATGCCGACTTCTCACAGCTCTGCCTGGTCAGTGTCATTGGATGTAAGAGGTAGCTTTTTTATCCTTATGTCCACTCCCCACTCCCTCTAAAAGTGAAAAGCACCATCTTTTGACCTTGGAAGTAGCTCTGGAGTTGCCGAGGACTCCATGTATTCACCATTCAAGTCCTCATCCGGCCTCTGAGTCAGGAAGAAATCCTAAAACTCATCTTTAACTATGTTGTGGTGTATTCCAGTCATACCTGGTGTCCTACCCAGTTGACATACGTTAAGTTCCTGCTGGTTTAGGAAAACTACACTATCCCTGGGGATCATTTCCCACACTCGCCTCAGTGCTTGTGGCAGAAGAACACGTTGAGCACACTTTTCTGCACATCTCTTTACAGTGGCTTTTCTAAGTGGGGTGGTTCGTGCCCTGCTGGGCTCATTTCGGGGCCCACTTCTCACAGAGGACATGCTGCTTCCTCGTCCCTCGGCCTCCTCGGCCAAGTCCAGCCGGCAGGCCTGGGCGCGAGTCCTGGCTGTGTGCCCGTGGGCAGGTGACCTCCCAGGGCCTCGGTCTCCTGATTAGTGCAGTGAAGGTTGCAGGTACACCTACTACACAGAGCTGTTGTGAGGATCGAAGCTGAAACGTTGTATATAAAATTTTCATTGCTTGGCATAATGCCTAGCACCTAACAAGCCCTTAGTAAAAAGTGGTTTATTGGTATTAATATTGTAATCATGTTACCTATCCCCTCCTTTTGCCAAAATTTGCTGCTCGTGAGATTTCTGTGGCATTCTGCCACATGTAGTATTTTTCCTGGTGTCCTTATGGCTTACGTCCCCTTCCCCTCTCACCCCTACAGCATACACATCCCCTGAGAGTGTCTCAGGCTTTGTGTCCTTATCGAAGCCCCCTTTCTTTGGCTGCTGTGTCTTTTCCCAAGGCTTCTGCCTTAATCTCCAGACCACGTACCCAGCCACCACCTGCACACCAGTCTTGGGAGGCCACGTGGGGCCAGAGCCTTAGAGCTGCCCTCACCCGCTGCACCTGTGCAGGGAGCGGATGAAAGCTTGATGCTGCTGCACCCACACGGTCCCTCTTAATCTCAAGACATCAGATCATCCTGCATGACTCTGAACATGTCAGTGAGCCCCTGCCAGTCCCCCAACAGGCCGTGCAGCCTCTAAAAGAAGCTCCTACTTGGCAGGGGCCAAGAGCAGGCATTGGGAAGGATTTCTGAGCCTTTCTCCCAATTGACAGCTAAGTTAATATTCTTTTTCTCTTAGAGCAAGTGAGAAATACAGGGAAAGGGACTAATGACTATGTGCTCTGTTTTCACACAGGACTCATTAAAGTTGCGGTATTTAACGTATCTGCCAATACCAGGATGAGCAACAACAGTAACAATCAAAATACTACCCACTTCCCCCGGACTAGCCGAGGAGTGGGGCTTTGAGACTCCTGTTGGGACCCAGTTGGTCTGCAGTCGCTCCGGAGGGGCTGCTCAGCACAGCTGACTGCTTCCCTGCTGCTATCAGAAGATCTTTTCTTTCGTGACTGATTGGAACTTTTAAAGCTCACCTCACTTCCCCTCCTCCTTTCCCCTCTGCACCTTTTTTTCCTCGTTTGGTTCCAGACAAAGATGACTTATAAATATATTTAGTGTTTTGCCAGAATCTCTCTTGCTTTGCTGTTAAGCAGAAGAACTAGTTTCCCTGTAGAGCCTGCTGGGAGAGACCCACTTCCAGGGGACAGCGGGGTACAGCTTGGAGCCGGACAGCACCCAGCGTCTCCCTGTGAACCGCAAGAAGGCCCAGCGCCTAGCAAGCTCAGCACAGCCCCACTGTACTTAGGAGACAGCTGTCCGCACGGTCTCTGGGGCGAGAGAGACGAGAATAAGCACACCAGGAGATCGGGGCCTCTTTCTTCCATCTCTTTTCTCTGTTTCTGCACCTCTTCCCCTCCCTCACTCCCCTCCAACCTGCTTCTCTGCTCCACCTGTGAAGTATGAACAGAGTATCTTCAGCTAGCATGAGACAAATCAGCTAGAAAATGCAACACTTTTTGGAAAAGTTAAATGCTATTCAGTCAAAATTTCAAACAGGCTTTTGCTGCAGGTGACCTTCTATGACAATGATGAGTTCTCAGACACGGTGTTTCCATCGTATTTGCAACTCTGTTCTCCTTCTGACACCCTTCCCCAAAGAGGGAGGGGTGGAGCCAAAATTCCCTGGGCTCCATCAATGGTCACATCTTTTCTAGACTCAGCGGTCTCCTTGATTCCATGTAGAGTGTGCAAAGGAGTTGCTGATTGCATTTCCTCTCATTAACAATTAGATGTGTAATAAAAAGCATTGTACTTCATCTTAAATCCCTGGTAAGGCTCAGCCTACAGAAAGGCTTGAATGGCCAGAGCCAGGCGCTTGCCAGGTTCTGCACAGTGGTTCAGATCTCTGGTTTCTTCGCCAGGGCCTGTGAGCACCAAGGAGCCTGTGTCTTTGCCAAGGCCATGGTCGGAGTAGCTTTAGAGGTGGTCAGGAGTAAAAGTTTGTTTCTTTTTCATTTAGGCCAGTAAATAGCATTTCTCAAAAATCAAGCTAAATCATCTCAACTTTGCACTGCAGAACCTTCCTTCTGCTTTTCCCAAATCCAGTATTTACAAAGGGCAAAGCTGCCAGAGAGAGCAGATCGGAGTGAAGCTTGGCACACAGGGTTTCGTACGGAGGCAGAGACTGCCTTCTCTTCTCCTTTCCTCCCTCCCTCCAGTCTTCTTTACTCTCCACTCTCCCCCGACCAGGAAGATTTCTCTGGGAGTTGGTAAATAACATAAACAAATGGACTTCAGCCAGGGGCGGGCTGACCCGGCCACTTGAAAGGCAGCTGTATGGGCTTCAGGTGTGGGGCACAGGTGCCACCGTCCCGGGAGCACAGAGAGTGCCATCAGTGTGTGCCCAGCCTGTTTCTCGGGTCAGGAATGGGACCTGCACCGGCCACCTCAGGCGGCATGGGCGTGCCCATCAAAAGCCCCAAGGCCACAGCACAGTCTCAGGTTTCCCTGGGAAGCTGAGCTCTCAGGCCCTTCATTTCCATCCCTGATCAAAGCAGTTGAGTAAAAGAAAGCCCCTTTTTAACCAACTGCTGGAAAACTTCCAAGTGGGAGCCAGCTGCAAGTAACCTCACAGCCGGGCCACCTTTACTGCAGCGATGGCGAAGGCGAGCACGGCCATCTTTCCTCTTCCCTCCGATTTGCAAAAAGGCGTTCTCTTCCCAAGGTGTGCCCAGGACGAGTGTTGTTACTACGTGTTAGGAGGCAGGCATGCATACACAGTTTTCCTTTTCTGCTTTGTGAGTGCTTTCAAGCTTTTATTCCCAGGTTATATTCAGAAAGTACTTCCCAGTGTAATATGTCATTGCCTAGGAAATATTTTCTGAGTATAATTCCCTTCCCAACTACCCAAATGCCACAAAGAAATGTTTTCTATTTAGTCACTTACTGTGGTTCCTTGTTCATTGTGTTGACTATTAATGCCTTTTTGATTGGTTGAGGATGTTGCTACAGATGAGGCAGAGGACCATCAGCCCTGAAGAACACACAGGTCAGACATTAGAGAGGCGTGAGTTTTAAAATATTGTCCAATAGCCATAACTTACTAGCCCTTCTGTTACATGCTGCTGTTCTAAAGTGAGAGCTGTTGAATATTCATTGGTGCCCGGGGGCTTGCCCTCCCATCTAGGTTTGAAGGTGGATTGTTTCTAAGGCTCTTCTGAAGCTTGTCCAGTACATCTTAAGTGAGATGGGGGTGGGCCCTGCAGTCCGCAGCCCTTGGCTCCGTGGAGGATATTCCCCACGCTGTCCTCTGCTGCTCATGGAAATGGGAGTGGAGTGAAGTGGTCTGAAAAACTCGAGTCAGTCGCATTTCTCAGCTCTGGGGGTCATTTACCAGTTCATTGTAGAAGAAATAATCAGGTGAGTAGAAGTTCATTTCCAGAGAAGGTAAACCCCACTTACCATCTCTGCATGATTTCAGTGGGAATTGATTATCACTGATCCCCAACTGGGCTAGAACAAATGTAAAGTTTGACCTTTTAAAAAAGAGAAATAAAGACAGTCTCAGCCCATTCAAAGGAGTGGTAGAAGAGCTGAGGGCGTCTCTGGGTTCTGACATGAAATGTCTGCCTTGTAGATCACTCTGTTCTCACTGAAACGCGCATGTGGGCCCAAGGAGTGTTCCTTAGAAGTAGGAGGGAGCCCCTTCAGAGGTGGGCCCGGGGAGTGCGGGCGCACCTGCGCCTGGGGCCCTGTGCGCCCACGTGGGCACTCCGTCCCCCTGGGGCTGCCGGGACGGCACCGGCATGCCTTGCCACACGCGTGTGTTTCCTTCTTTCTTACATGCAGTTTGAAAGCAGACGTGTGTTGCAAATGGGAAGCCTTTCACATTTGTCCCTTGGCAAATTCTTCCTGGTGACTCTTCACCAGAAACTTTAGAGACAGGTACTCTCTGGAACTCTGCTGACAGATTGTAAAGTCTGGCCCTCATAATTTGTTTCTGAACTGGAAAAGACACTGGGACTCCTAAATCATCCATTCTTGTTCTGCTTCAGTAAGAAAAATCCTTTTTTATTTTTCTTTTGTAAAATCAGAAGCTAAAGAGAAGAAAATGTGCACTCTTTGGCCGTCTCTTGGTACTCATTGGTCTGAGCACTGGGGCTGGCCTCCTTACCCAGTACTTGGTTGTGTGTGGAAGCAAAGGGCTCAGGTGGCAGGGGTGGGGGCTGTTGGAAATAATGAGGAGAGTGTTTTCTTTTCTGGAACTGCTGGCGTGGTGTCCTCCGTTTACCTTAGATGGTGACACCTTCCTGCCTGAAGTACCAGCCCAAGGGTCTAGGCTGCAAAAGCTTAGTTATGGAGGAATCCACCGCACATCTAGGTAGAAAAGGGGGCGCGAAGATATCCCCCACCTGTGACGCTCACATTCCTTGATGATCAGGTTTACTGTTTGACTTTAACCCTCATCTCGATCTCCTTCCCCATTTGGCAACACCTTCAACAGATGTTCCAGGAGGCGGAGAACATGAAAAGGCACCCTTGCTCCTCCTCACCTTCCTCTCCCCCCTCCTGGAGGGATCTCTTGTCTGACCTGGGCACCCAGAGCCAGTAGGCTGAGTCTGTCTCCCCATCTCCGAGGTGAATAGGGCTGGGTTTTGCTTCTTGTTGCTTTTACCCATAGTTCGTTCATTTGTGACTTTGATATTCTTGGACCTAAGGAGAGAAACCAAAAGCATGATCATGGCAACCTGGTTTCATGTGACACTTAGTACATTGATATCCTAAAACCTCTTCTATTGGAAGTTGTGTGCCTGTGATTAGACACTGAAATTTGCGGGAGGCAGATGACCTCTAAAACTTCGAACTCCACAGCCCGCCCGTCTGGCTTTCTCAGCTCCTGATTGGCTCTGTGTGCATTTAAGGATAAGTGTGGTTAAGGATAAATGGCATTATAAGCATCACCTCCCCTTTGTCTCTTTCCTTCTTGGACACTGAAGGAAAAGGAGGGTCAGACCTCTGAGTACCAAGGAAACGAATACCTTCCCAAGTCAGTGGTCACTCAAGCGCAACCCAGGCTGTTCTGAGAGATTTTGACAGGACTCCAGCCATGGAGCAGGCCCAGCCACAAATGTGAGCTTCCCTGAGAGCTTTCCGTGGGTTCAGCCCTTTGTTCTCTTGACTCTTGACGAGCGCCGACTGCTTTGCCTCGTGCGACCGTGTCTCGGTGATGTGTAGTCGATGTGCCGATGCGTCCACAACCTAGAATCATGGTAATGTAGTGTGTTTGGTTTTTTTAACTGTTCAGAAAAAAGTAACTTAAATTACAAATATAAGATTAAAGTGAATTTTCCAAGTGTCTTGTCTCTTTGCCCCAATACCAGTAGGACAGTGAGTTTTTCAATATACAAGTTGAGAGAGTGCACAAGTACATTTTATGATAATCCGACATGAGAAAACGATGAGAGAAGTCAGGGCCAAATGCTGTGAATAAATGTGGGCCCGGCGTACCATGGATGTCCCCTGTTAAACTGAAGCCGGCGTGGTGTCTGACTGGGGAACTGGGCCCCGCAGCCGTGGCCCTCCATGACCATGGCTGAGCCCTAACTTCCTCCTGAGAGGGTCAGAAGACTGCTGACGGGTGAACGCACATTCAGGAGCACTTTCTGGAGACTCCAGCAAACCGTGAAAATGAAGGAGGCATTGATCACTGTGGGGGGGGACACACCCACTTCCCTCCACAGACCAGACCTGGGCAGAAGCAAGGGCACGCCAGCGCCCTCCGCCCCACCCCTCCTGGAATCACCAGCAGGACCCTGTCAGAACAAACCCATCCCTGTCTTACATCTGTGGACTTCTAGTGGGAGTGTCCTTTCCTGGCCACACACCCCCGTCAGTGCTGTCAGCTGTGTGGCCTCAGTGCCTGTCATACCGGACCGACTGGTCACGGGAGCATTCTCAGACTTTGAGAGGCAGGGCCCCGGTGCATAGTGGTCCGTGCCCGAGCTGGAGATGTAATAGCGGAGCATTGGGTGGACCGAGCACTTTGCAGATGGGGAACCTGCACAGGAAGAGGAGCTCCCCACACTGCCCGAGACCACACCAGCTCTCCTATCAGTTAAGGGTGGGGAGGGAAGAGGCAGCGATGACAGCTCAGGCCTTGGCATCTAGTCAGTTGTCACCAGCCGGGCTCCTGAGCCCCATACTGAGCAGAAGCTAGGCCTGGGGGTTAGGGTCTCACCTTCAAACCCAGAGTAAGCTTCCCTCAGAAGGCAGGGGTCTAGGACACGCCCCCGACACACCCCGAAGCACTTCCCCAAAGCCAGGCTGGGCTGGATCCCCCTCTTGAAACCTATAGCTGTGCCACCACCGGCAATGACGAAGGGGAGGAGACCTCTCCTTCCTGATTGGCTCTTGCCAATTAAGAGCATTTTATTAGGCTGCTAATTAAAGGCACTTCGGTAGCAGCGGGAGAGGCCGTGTGGGTGCCTGGTGAGATGGAGCTGAAGCCGGGATAAGTCGTTTTCTTCCCCCCATGGAAGCAGCGCCTCTCAGGAGCCCTCTCAGTCCCCCAGCCCTTCCTGCTGCGCCCACCACACCCCTTGCTTTCAATTAGCAGCTCTGAGGGGAGTGAGGTCATTACCAAGCCCAGGTGGAAAGTCCTCCCCTGCCTCAGGCCACACAGGCCCTGGGGGGAGGGGGCCATCCTGTCCCCACACTCATCATATGGAGTCTGAACTGCCCAAGGGTCATGTTTGTTTCCACCATGAGTGGCCCCTGGGTCTCCTGGGCCATCACCAGCAGTCACCTAGTGAACCAGATGACCAGTCATTTGGTCGCATGGTATGATCCCCTTCCTCACCAAAGGTTCAGAATGTTAGGAAATGTGGCCTTCCTGTTGACCCCTGTGCAGGAACTGTGCCCTTGCTGACCCCTCGACTCGAGCGGGCCCAGGAGGAGGAGGGACTTACGGGGTTACAGTCCCAGTCTCAGACACCCCGAGACGCCTCCTCTGAGCTCATCACACACTGGAGGCCCTTTCCCTGAAGGGCCCAAATGAGCCTCAAGTAAGAGAGGGGCCTGGCCATGACTTGGCAAGACGGGGACAGGCGTCAGGGTCAGAGAGAGCCCCTCTCCAGAACCCTCCCGGTCCCATCTTGCTGTCCTCCTCACCCCCTCACTTAACTGCAGAGTTAGCACCAGCCCAGGCTGGGAGGGCAGATTTATGGCCAGGCCTGCCGTTCTCCATTTAACCTGAGGCCGGCCCGGGCTCCAGACACTAAATTAGATTTTTGACAATTAGAGAGACTAATGGGCACACGGCCATCCCCAGAGCCAGATATCCAGCAAGGCCGTCCTTTAATATCCACCACTGGCTGGCCGCCCTCACCTCGGCAGGCATTTCTCTCCCGGGGCCTGCCTTGCACCTCGCCACCTAGGTTTTCTCTGGTTCCCTCTCCCTTGATTTCTTACCCTCTCTTTTCCACCCTGGCCCAAGGCCAGCCCTGCCCCTGGGGCTCTGCCGTCCTTGCCTCCCTTTCTCCTCTTGTCACGTCTCCATCTCTACCTTCCCTGGGGCCCATCCCTCTGTAACCCTCCTGTCTGCCCCTCCCAACGGCAAGCCCCCTGAGGGCAGGGGCTTGTGCCCTCGCCAGTCCTACAGGCTCAGCAACCAATGGGTGCAAAGTAAGTGTCCCAAGCCTTCCTCCCTCCCTCCCCCCTCCCTCTGCGCCTGCGTCTCCAAGGCCTGCCCTCCTGGCACCAGGCCCAGTCCCGGCCCTGACCTGGCTCTGCTCCAGGGTGGGCTGGGTGCCCTTCCCTGCAGCCCCTCAGCTCTGGTCGGGCTCGGGCTGGGCGGGTAATGAGATTGCAGTAAGTGGCATTGGGGGGGGAAGCTGCTCACATTCACTCAGGCAGACTCATAGCTCTGTCAGGCTGATTGGTCCTGA